GGGTAGACCTCAACAAAATGGGGTTGCGGAGAGAATGAATAGAACTCTCCTAGAGAGAGCAAGGTGTATGCTCACACAAGAAAACATGGGGAAATCTTTTTGGGCGGAAGCCGTATCAACGACTTGTTACTTGGTGAATCGCTCTCCTCACTCTGCCCTTAACTTCAAGTCACCATAAGAGGTATGGTACGGAAAACTAGTTGATTATTCTACTTTGAAAGTATTTGGTTAACCGGCTTACATTCATGTAAATTATGGTAAACTTGAACCTAGAGCTAAAAAATGTATTTTTGTAGGCTATGGTTTAGGTGTTAAGGGTTATAGAGTATGGTGTACCCAATCTAGAAGAGTTATAACTTCTAGAGATGTTGTTTTTGATGAAAAATGTTTGATTACTCTGGAAAAGGATATTTCTATATGTAATGATCATGTAGGTATATACCATGATACCGAGGAGGAGGTGGAGCTTGATGAGAATTCACATCATGAAGATGGCCCCTCTCCAAGGAGACTTCGTGAAGCAACACCACAAGCCAAAAAGAAGTCCATTGCCGAAGAGAGAGCAAAAAGACCAATCAAGCCTCCAAGTAGATACATTGAGGAGTGTGATTATGTCCAATATGCTCTCAACGTTGCAAGACAAGTTGAGACCAATAATGATGATCCATGCCCCTTTAAAGAAGCAATGTCTCAGCTTGATGTCGGCAAGTGGTTGATAGCCATGAAGCAAAAGATGGATTCTTTGAGCAAGAACAATCACCAAAAGGCAAGATAATTATTGGGTGCAAGTGGGTGTATAAGAAGAAAGAAGGTACACCGGAATCTGACGGCCCTATCTATAAGGCAAGAGTAGTTGCAAAGGGTTTCACACAAATTGAAGGCATTGACTTTCCTGAAGTTTTCTCACCGGTTGTGAAACACTCATCCATAAGGGTGTTTCTTGCTTTGGTAGCTATTGAAGACTTGGAGCTACACCAACTTGATGTGAAGACCACATTTCTCCATGGTGAATTGGAGGAAGAGTTTGAGGTAGTTGGGAAGGAAGATCATGTATGTCGTCTTATGAAGTCCTTGTATGGTTTGAAACAATCTCCAAGGCAATGGTACAAGCGATTTGATTCATTCATGTTGGCACATGAGTTCACAAGGAGTTCATTTGATAGTTGTGTTTACTTCAAAGAACTTGAAGGTGGTTCCTTTATCTACTTACTCTTATATGTAGATGATACGTTGGTGGCTTGCAAGAATATGATTGAGGTTACAACTTGAAAAGGTTGTTGAGTAGTGACTTTGATATGAAAGATCTTGGTGAAGCCAAGAAGATTCTTGGTATGGAGATCATCCGTGATAAGAGTGCGGGTGTGTTGTATCGAGTCAAAGAAGATACATAGAGAAGGTGCTTGAGCGCTTCTCCATGATGCATGCAAAACCCGTGTCCACTCCATTGGGCTCTCATTATAAGCTCTCAAAAGAGCTTTAATTTTTTCTCAATCCAAAGAAGAAGAGAAAGATATGGCTCACATTCCTTACACTAGTGCGGTTGGAAGTGTGATGTATGCCATGGTATGTTCAAGACCGGATATAGCCCATGCAGTGAGTTGGTATATGTCAAGACCGGGAAAGGTCCATTGGGAAGTCATGAAGTGGTTGTTGAGGTACTTGAAAGGAACCTCAAACGTTTGCCTTGAGTTTGGAAGAGATGCAAACGGACTTGTTGACTATTGTGATTCGGATTATGGAGGAGACTTGGATGATCGAAAATCTACATCCGGTTATGTTTTTACTTTGGGAGGTACGGCCGTGAGTTGATAATCTTTGTTACAAGATGTTGTAGCTCTTTCAACTACGGAAGCCGAGTTCATGGCCATTACTGAGGCATTCAAGGAAGCAAAGTGGCTCAAGGGTCTAGTGGGTGAGTTTAGTTCATATTCAAGCTTGGGGTCCGTGTTTGGTAATAGCCAAAGTGCAATTCACTTGGCCAAGAACCAAAACACATTCTACAAAAGAACCAAACACATTGATGTTACGTACAACTTCATTCGAGATGTGATTGCAAAGAAAGAGTTACTCTTGAAGAAGATTGGTATCGAGGAGAATCCGCGTACATGTTAACAAAATCTTTGCCTACTACTAAGTTTACTTTGTGCGTGGACTTAGTTGGTCTCTCTTTATGTTCGATGTAAGCCCTTAAAGGGCTTGTTTGGGGATAGAGATTCATTGTTGATGATTACTACTTAAGAGGAAGTGTGGAGGATTACGAGTCAAGGTGGAGAATTGTTATATGTGTGCCTCCAATTCTCCATGTTGATATATGTTTGGTATTATGGTGTTTAGAGCTTTAAGCAAAGAAGCAAGGCAAATGGCTGACTTCAAATGGTCATATCTCAAGATCTATAAACGATATTGAGATGATTCAAGTTGGAGGTGATAGCTCTTTTAAAGAGCTTTCCAACGACTAGTCATAAGCTTGATTTGGACAAGAATCGAAGAAGTTATGGCCGTTTTAAGAATAACTATCTGCACACCGAGGGAGTTTGGCCGAACTAATGAAAAGTTCGACCGAACATTAACATGGTTCGGCCGAACCTGAGGTAGGTTCGACTAAACTCAAGAAGAAAAACTTTTGAAGGCTACTGACATTGGAGTTCGACCGAACTCACAAGGAGTTCGCCCAAACTTATGAAAATTTCGTCTGAACCAAGGGTAGTTTCGCCCGAACCTACCTAGTTTTTGGGTTTTCCCTTTTCACGATGAGCTCTAATCTTGGCCGTTGGATTGTCCTTATTTCCAAGCACTATAAATACACTTTGTATAGGATTTTAAGAGCATGAGAGAGAAACACAAGTGAGACATAGATCTAAAATTAGCTCACAAGAACACCATCTTTCTCCATTGTAGTTCTTCCTCCATTGAAGAGTAATACAAGCTCCAATCTCCCCAAAAGTGGATGTAGCTCATTTAGAGTGAACCACTATAAATCTTGTGTGTTTTATTTTGTTCATTTTAATTGCTTTCTCATTTAGTTTTGCATTGTTCCTCAATCAAATTCAAAATCCCAAAAGATCCTATTTCATAACAATGAGAGGATGGAGTTTGAGAACCATACCCTATTGATGATGTTGTGGAACAGGCCAATGAGGGCCAAATTCTTATTGTTTAAAGGGCACTTCATTCCTTCACTTTGTCGCAAGAGGTAAGAGAACAAATTTTCCAAACTCAACCTTAGCGCTCTTGTTTGGATGTTTGTTTGACAATTATTTTTTATCATTTATTTAAAGAATATGTATGGAAGTTATTAATAGCATATCAACATATTAACTTTTATTATTAGTAAATGATAAATAGATGAAGTGAATCGTGAGTGTTGTCTTTAATAGGTTATGTGAATTATAGTGACGATATTTCATGGATCCTAGCAAAGTGGAGACATTTTAATCTTGGCATGTTCCTACTCTCCTCAATCAAGTTTGAAATTTTCATGATTTGGGTACGTTTTATTGGAAATTGGGAAGAATCTTGACTCCAGTCACCGAATACACGAAAAAGGGGACTTTTGACAGGATTGCATCATCTCCAAGGATATTTGAAACCCTAGCCTAAAGAAAAAATGATGTGAAGTAGTAGAATCTTGGCTCTCCCCAACTCAATCAACCGTTTGAAGTAGTAGAATATGATGCAAGAGGAGTTGGAGTTGAGGCGTTGTTTGTTCAAAGATGAAGACCAATCGCTTATTTTAGTGTGAAGCTTGACATGGCTAGGACAAGGTGCAACACTTATAACATAGACTTTGATTATTAGTGAGAGCTCTTGATCATTGCCTTCATTACTTAAACCATGACCCTTTGTATTTCATTCTAATAATAAATCACTCAAGTGTATCAAAGCCTCAAAGGTTTTCGTAATCCTAATGTAATGCATGCCAAGTGGATTAAAATTCTTCGATATTTTATTTGTGATGTAAGCTTTTAAAGGAATCGCACGGTGAATATAAGGATTTTGGTGAGCTGGTGAAGAAGTATGGAGATGGTACCAGTATACAGTGGCGGAGCCAGGATTTTCAACTTGGGGGGACAAAATGCTTAACTTACGAAAAGCTTAACAAAAAATAAAAACAAAAAAAAAACTCACACACAAATTGGTTAATACTTAATATTAAAATTTCAAAATACAAATATATACTTAGTCATACAATTCAAAATGATGAAAAAAATTACATAAACATTACATTAAAATTACAAGTTCATTCTTCGAGTCTTCATACTTTGAAATCGATCAATAATCTTTTCGTCGGAAACTCGTAAGATGACATCCTTCTCAATAAAAGTGACCAAACAATCATTCATAAGTTGATCACCCATGCTATTTCGCAACTTGTTTTTGACACATGTCATTGCAGAAAACACTCTTTCAACACTTGCCGTGGCAACGGGAAGAATCAACATCAACTTGATAAGCAAATGAATTGCCGTTGCCATAATGTTTATTCTTTTTCCCGGATCATGAGGAAGAAGTTCAACATCGTACACCGAATCTTCCTCTAATGGTACATTACTATTACTTGAACCACCCATTTCCATACTATTTTCTTGACTTTGAGGGGAGCTAAATGAAGGTGAGTTATTGGACTCATTTTCATTGGACTCATTTTCACAAGGCCACAAATGACAAATTCACAATAAAAATATAAACAATTAAACATTTAAACAAGTAATAAAAATATGAAATTCAGAATTTCAGATTTACTGTAAATTTAAACAATTAAACATTTAAACAACAAAACAAGTAATCAATTATTCAATTAATCATACATTCATTGATTCATACCTCCATTGAAATCCAGATTTACAGCAAATGTGTTATGCTTATGCATATGACGAAGTCACGAAGACACGAAGTCACGAAGGACGAAGGCTCAACTGCTGCGAACTGCCGGCGAACGGTGGACGGCGTCACGGCGAGCCGGCTAGGCGACAGGCGAGGGCGAATCGAAGAGAGAGAAATTGAAAATTGAAAAACTTAGGGTTTGGCTGGCAAATGTCGCAACAGAGCACTGTAATTGCATTTTTTTTTTTTAAAATTTTTTTTTTTTTTAAAATTTTTTTTTTTTTGAAAATGGGGGGACAAGTGTCCCCACATGTCCCCTTCTAGCTCCGCCCATGCCAGTATATAGTCTTTTCATAAAAGGAAAACATTGCTAGTTGTGAATTTGGCAAAAGAAATACTTGTCACAATTGAACTACTCATGTCATTAAAAGATTCGAATCAATGCTCCTCAATTATAAGCATAGAACCTTTTCGATTCATAAAGGGTTTTTCCTTCATTCTTTGCCTATATCTAATTATTATACCATCCTCAATCATTCTACATGTTTCTTCATTGAGCATATTTGCGTTTCCATTGCAACGTAGGGCATCAAGAACCAACTTGTAAGTGTATTCTCTGGGAATCAAACCTCCATCCACCAGCTCCACAAGAAATTCCCAAGCCTCAGACGCCCTCTGGACTTCACACAAAGCATGAATGATAGGCGTGTACGAACTAGTCGTAGGAGTTCCATGATTCAGCTCTTGCATTTTCCGCAACATCTCAATAGCCTTATCGATCTCGTTCACAACACTATAGTACCTAATAAAAGAGTCGTACGTAACTCGATTTGGTAAACAACCCCTTTTAATTATATCTTCCAAGAGCTCAAGAGCTCTTTCAATCCTATTAGTCTTACAACACCCATCAATTAAGCTATTGTAGGTGACAATATCAGGAACAAAACCCTTAAACAGCATTAGACGAAACAGATGATTCGCTTCCCACAACCTCCGCCTGAACGCCTTCCTACACCCGGTCTGCAAGGCATACTTGCAGTAAGAGCTTATCAAAATTGTGTAGGTGTAGGTATCAGGCGGGCAACGAAACCCAGGTAGCTCCATTTGCTGCAGCAAACTCTTAGCTTTCACAAAAAACCCAACTCTACAAAGAGCCAAAATGACAGTATTATAAGCATAAACATCAGGTTTACAGTGAAACTGTTTCATTCTATAGAAAGCCTGCATTGCTTCATTTACAAGCCCTTCTTCACCTAAGCATTTCATCAAACAGGTGATAGACGTGGTAGTTACTAGCTCACCATCTACTTTCCTACTCATTTCCCTTAGAAAATTCCACAAATGACTTAATTTATTAGCCTTAGCCAACACAATAGCCATCTCTCTGACGGTAATCTCGTTGTGAATGAACCCGGCGTGGGATTCGACCCAGTAGAAAAACTCGGTCGCTTTCGAGACCCCGTGATCAACCCGGGTTAAATCTCGATAGGCTGCAGGTCCAAGAATTAGGAAATTACTTTGATATTTGACGGATTCCTGGCGGAGATCACGCTGCTTGAGAGGAGCGCGATGACGGAAAAGATTGGATTGACGGCCAATAGAGCGTGTTGGCGTGAAGAAGAAAATGGGTATGGAGCGGAGGATATCCGAAACAGTTTGAGTGGTCCATGAGTATGGAGGTGAGGTGGTGGCGGCATCGAACGGACTATCCCTGATCATGACGGCAAGGACTTGCTTAACCACCGGGGAACGGTGGTGGTAGAAATGAGGTTTTGATGCTAGCATTTTTGTTTGGATTCCAAAAGAGTACAACATCTACTGTTAATATGTGATTGTATCATTCGGTCCTTTTTTTTTTTTTTTTTTTTTTTTTTTTTTGAGGAAATCATTCGGTCCTTTTATACTCTTTTCTTTTTATTTTTATTTTTTTAAGGTTACATTTTCACTGTTGTAGGTAATTTAATTGAAGTTAATATGAGCAATAATGAGGTGTACGTGAGATAATTAAGGGTTTAAGTTGTATAAGAAAATATAGCGGTGTTAATATTTATCGCTAATTAGGAGTTTGTTTGACATCGTTTTTTGTTTTCAGTTTTCAGTTTTTTTTGAAAACAAAAAACCAAAAATAGGAAATAAGAAAAAAGTGTTTCTATTTTTATGTTGTTAGTTTTCAAAATTACCGTGAGTTTAGTATATTTGACTAATTTTTTATTCATTATATGACATATATCATATGATTTTGAAAAACAAAAAACCAATAAACAGAAAACCATTGTGATGCCAAACAAACCCTAGGTTGTCTGTTTTTCGAATTAAAATTAAAATTCAATCTAATCCAAACCAAATTATTAATTCCGATCAAAGCTGTCGTGTGTAAAATACTGTGGTCAAGACTTTGACATTTATCTACTAATGGCTTGGACCGAGAATGATTTGCATTTGGCTGAGATCACCTGCATATATAGAAGAGCATGTTAACTAGCCTCAATGGTGCGTACGAGGAAACCCCTTGGATCCCTAAGTCAACACGTTTGATTGAAGTTCAAGGAGACAATTATTGATTCAAAACCGAAACATTGTCATTGAATGCTAAACATAATAATGAAAACTTCAAAAGAACCCTAAACTAGGTGGATCAATCCCGTGGTCCTCAATGCGTATAAAGACTCCACTTGAAAATCACGACTAATTACCAAATATGGCAAACAGGGTGAACCAAAACATAATAGAAAGTACGGGTTAGCAAAGTATGCTAAGTGTTGGGTTTTACGGTGTCCCGAACACCTTACGGAACCAAACCCCAAGAAAGAGAGAGAGAAAAGGGAAAAGACCATCATACCCTCGAAGTGTGCTTCTCCTCGAACACGAGCACGTCCCTTGAAAGCTTTAGACCCGCAAACACGAGATCCTCTCGCTTTGCACACCCACGTGCCCGAACTAGGTTTGTATCTTGTAGCTTAGACGAGACCAAACCAAGACTATGAGTTTTAAGAACTCTAAGGTTTTCTCACAGTTTATATCGAAGATGCCTTTTTGAGTTTTACTCAAGTGATTTTTCCCAACATCCAAAGTTGGTATTTATAGGAAAAGCATCTCCTTTTCCACACTATTCTTTCCATGTGGGAGATGTGGTAAAGTGAGAAAAAAAAAACATTTAACTTAATTCTAAATGAAATTAAATACTCAAGGCAATAAGTAATCAACAAGTGTCAACACAAGAGAAGGAGTAAGTGAGGACCACAAAGGGAGGACCACCAGCTCCCCTTGTTCCCCAAGCAAGCCCTTCACACATACTGGCCCCAATGGCCTTGCGCCAGCTAGCGTGACCTACCTTTGGAACAAAGGCTGCCTTGCTTGCGGCTTGGTCCCTCGGCTGGGCCTGCCAGCGGCCAATGGTTTGCTGCCCACACAAGCTGGCCTCGCACGCCATGCGGGCTGTTGTGCGTGGCTGCCGCTACGGGATGGCTATCATTAGCAGCATCTAGCGAGGCCAAGCACGCTAACATGCTGCTGGCCTTGCTAGTGCTACTAGCATGCAAGCTCGGCTTGAAAGCCCTAGCCAGCACGCGCATGGGGGTGCTGGGATTGCGGCGTAGCCAGTGCATTGGCTAGCAGCCCCTATTAACCTAGCCCCCGCGTGGCTTGGCCAATGCGAGGCTACGGCTATGCGTGTTGACTTGTTGCTTGACTTATTTCTCATCTCTTCGGAACCTAAAATTGACTTGACGTTTTACGCTCGGCTTCGACGCTTTAAGCTCAGAATCTGACGTCTGAGTACGTAATTAAAAGGAATGATGTCCTTCTAACAAGTGTATTATTCCGATAGAGGGTTCGGAATTAATTAGAAAGCTAATTATTCAGTGAGGTCAAGTGATTGAAATGCCTAGCTGGAGGCCGCTTTCGATCAATAATATTAATGAATAATTAATATTACAGCTTAATCTTGACTGAACCCTTCGGGTCACACCCAATCGTGTAACCGAACTGAAACGACGAATTCATCCGAAGGATTAAATGAGTCAATAGAGTATTTACGAACAAAGACGTCGGATTACGAGCTTAGAGCGTCTAAACCGAGCATCGTAAGTCGAGTCGAATTTAGTAAAAGTCGAGATGGAAAAATCAGCTAAACGATAAGTCATAACATATAGCCCTAGCCTCGGATTGGCCGAGCCAACCGAGGGCTAGAGCAATATGGCTAGCAAGGCTGTGGCATACCGAGCTAGCTAGCATGCTAGCATTGCTTGCTAGCTGGCGCAGCAAGGCCAGCATCGCTGGCGCGCATGCTAGCACCAGCCCCGCACCATTGTAAGCAAGGCCAACAACAATTGCTAGCTGGGCCTTGCGCGAGGAAACAGCACAGCAGCAGCAGCTCGCAAGCTGAACTTTCGGTAGGTGCGCCCAGCACGCCCAGCAGCAGCCCTCATGCATGGGTGGCGTGCTTTATAGGGTGCATGCACACACGACCAGCAAACAGGCCCAGCCTAGGGGCTAGGCCGCCAGCCAGGTAGCCTTGGTGCCCAAGCCAGGCCACGCCAACTGGCGTGTTGCGAGTGAGCGTTTGTGTGGAGTGGTTTTGTGGGTTTGCTTGGGGAGCAAGGGGAAGGTGGTCCTCCCCTTGTGGTCCTCACCTAACCCCTTGCTTTCCTCTTGCCATTTGTTGTTTGGTGATTCATTTGGCTTTTAATTTGATTTTAGAATCAAATTAAATTATATTTTTCCTTTTTACTAACTCTCCCACATTGATGGGAGATGGGATTTCAAGGGCTCCTTTCCCTATAAATACCAATCATTTTGCATTGGAAAAGAGCACTTGAGTTGGTGAACTTGAAGGGATCTCTAAAGAGAGATAACCTTTGTTCTAATACTCTTAAGTAATTTTTGGTCTAGCCCCGACTAAGCTTCGGGGTAGGGGCCGGCTCGGTTCAGTAGCGAGGGTGTTAGCCGTTGGAGGTTCACGCGTTTGCGGGAGTCTTCGCTTTCAAGTCCAAGCTCTAAGTTAGAGCGAAGCACGCTACAAGGGTGATGATTCTTCTCTCTCTTCTTGTTAATCATGTGATTAAGGTTTTTTTTTTATTTTTTTTTTTATTCAAATAGCTTTTTTTTTATTTTTATTTTTTTATATTATTTTTTTTAGTAAATAAGAAATTATAATACCAAAGGAAATGCCAAAAGGCAAGAAAACACAAACCCAAAAGGCAAAGACTACAAACTCCACAAGCCCCGAAGGCACACACCCACTAGCCAAAGGTCCAAACTCTACACCTTCGAGGAAGGGTTTTTAAGGAGCTTAAACCAAACAAAGGCTCCCCGACCTCAAAGGAAAGGAGCTACCCTCGAGCAGTGGCACCACTGTCCAAAGGGACGGAACAAAACAACCACACCAAACACCAACAAAACAAACAAAACCAAAACAACCAACGTTACACCAAAAAGTCAAAACAAAGCAACAAAAAAAACACCAAAAAAACCAACAAAACTGACAGCACGCAAAGCAGCACAACCTACACTCCACCAGAAAAACAACCACCAATAAAAAGCGAGGGCACTAGCAACCAGCACAAGGACCAGCAGCAAGAAGAGCAGGCAGAGGCAGCAGCTAGAGCAGTGGTAGCCCCAAAAACAACACAAATTTGGCAGCAGCTCCCAGCAGAACCAATGAGCACAGCAGAAAGACAGACCTGCAGAAGAGCCCAACAGCAGCACCATAGAACCCACAACACCTAACAGAAACTTACATCAACCAACCAGAACTAGCATCACACCAGCAGCTACAGTAAGAACTAGGCACCAGCAGTAGCCCCAGCAGAAAATAGCAGCCAGCCAACAGCAGTAGGCAGATCAGCCCAGCAAGCACCCTGAACAGGCATCAAGACCTTCTGCCAGCAAGTAAAACTGCACCAACCTACAATAAGCAAGCAACATCAACTAAACAAGGGAACAACAGCAGGCTACTTCAAGGACAACAAAAAAACTACACACAAACAACAAAGCAATACAGGAACCTGCCAGCAGCCACAAAAACAACAAAAGCAACCAAACCACCAGGAATAACCAAAGCAACATCAATACAAAAGGAATTGCAAGCAAGCCATGCACTATATAACAGGCAGCAACATTAAAGCACCCGGCCTAGCATCAAAGAAAGAGAAGAGAGAAGAAGAAGAAAGGAGAGAAGCAGGAAAGAAGATAAGAGAAGAGAGAAGAAGAGGAGAAGAGAAGAGAAGAAGAAGGGAGGAGGAAAGGAGAGAAAGGTAGGGAGCTAAAAAGGAAACCACCAATTTCACAAACATTACCAAAGAGCAACCACCACACCAAGATCCCCAAAGGGACAACAAAGATCACCGAGCAGGAAAGCATCAAATCAAAAGATATTGCCTGGCACCTTCTAAGCATCTACAAGAAACTCTAAAAATAATATTCTGAAACTCGGAATTAGCATCAATACAAAAACCATTAAACATGGTTGAGTTCCGTCAAATCCAAATGCTATAGACCGTTTCGGCAAAAAAAATCAAGAATAAGTTCTTCCTCTCACCCGCTTTCCTACTTTACCTGGAAGCCCAATCAACCTCCAACTGAAAGCTTTGAATAGGTTTACTAATATGAAGCAAATCATGCACCTTCTGGCAAATCTTGCTAGAATAAGGACAACCAAAGAAACGGTGTTGAACATTTTTGGCCTCACTCAAACAAAGCAAGCATAAAGGATCGCAATTGATTCTCCAAAAAATCAACCTATCTTTACTCATAATCCTATTCAAGATACTTAATACATGCTTAGTTACTTTAATACATGCATAGATACTTTAATACATTCATAGATACTTTAATACATGCTTAGTCAGAATCCTATTATCTTTGGTTTTAACACATGCTTAGTTACTTTAATTTTTGTGTGGATTTTGGTCGGGTTTCCTTCCGCGTGGTGTTGGACATCACGAAACCCAACAGCTCTGTCGGAGCCGCGTGCATTTAATTATTGTAACTTATAATATATTAAGGTGATTTAAATGGATTTAAATTTCTGATTTTGCTTTCTAATTAGATTAGAAGCTCGGTTTTTAATTAGTTTAATCTCGTATTTATGCTAATTTTGGCTAAAGAACCCATAATTTGTTCCAAAACT